AGATTCATTGGTTTCACGACATGTAACTCTTTCTAAAACTCCGGCTATGACCAAAACAAGTTGATGCTTGTGCAGTTATAGGAATAAAAATCCGGGTTGACTCAAAAATAAAGAAATATAAAACTATGACTCGACTTAAATAAAAAAAAAAGGATTTGACAAGAGAAAAAATAAAATAAAAATAAAAATTCAATAAAAAATTCACATATAAGCACATTGTCACGCATGGTGCAATGAAGTTCGCAACCTAGAGTCAAGAAGATCTATGTTCCCCTATGGTCAAGATTTTGGGTGTCAAAGGGTACCATGGTTAAGAGTTTGGACGCGTTAGCAAGGCACCCTCCCTTGAGGGTGTATGCCAACGGGCGGCTCTGCCAGTTCGTGATGAGATTGAACTCGACTCCATGGTTTGGAAAGATTTAAAAACTCAGATGAACCCTTATTGTCAAGAACGTTTTCGGGTTGATAGAGCTTAAATACCCCAGGCTAGCCACATACATAGAACACATACATTGTGGAAAAATAAGTAATCTAAAATGAATATGCATATGTGACAATGCCAATTAAATCGTAGGAATACAATTCAAGAATCTTTCAAGTCTCATCCACTCATCTCAATTAAATACCGATCACTCAAATCGATAAATAACCAAGAATCCTCCCAAGTGGAGTCGCAAAATCGTAAGCGTCGTTTGAAACGCGCCTACGTTAGCATGTGTGAATATGCTTGGCAATCTTAGGAAGTGGGAATTGACGTATAGGATTAGGGAAAAATAAAGTAGGGAGCCGCCAACAAGTTTTTAAGGAACTTGTAAACCGTTCACGGATCATAAAAGGCAACCACGAATAAAGGAACAACGATAGGCAACAACGATTGACCCGTTAAGGTTATACCCCATTCATGAAGGAAACACTAGGCCTTTTTATTATTTTTTGTTTCCCTTTGCTTAATTATTGTCATAGTATAATGCTCACAACTCTTACTCGTTTCTTGATAATTTAGATTATATTAATTTATTAGAACTAAAGGAACATTGTTTCCTCATGGATTCGACCCTACTTTTCTAACTATCTATTTTAGTTAGTGGTCTTAGGAATTACTTTTGATTAGATGATATGACTTTAGCCTATCATTTCCTTCCGCATAGTGTTTGACACTACGAAACCTAACTTATTAAACGTTGAAGATCAAGAAAATTTTGATGGAGATGGATGAGTTTTGTGCAGGATATTGAAATGTCTATTTTATATAGTATTTTACTCTTGTCCCTTGGTCATAATTGGTAGTGTTTTTGGCTCTTTAGAGCCACTTTTATTACTAATTTGTGTTTTCTAGTGTTTTCGTAATTTTGGTTAAGTTTTGTAGGGATTTTCACTTTTGGAGCATTTTCCCAGGATTTTATAGAGCGTCTACGAGCATTAGAGGAGCACGATTAGTTTTCGCAGTCCAGGGCCGGTTAGAGTCATCGAGCCGATGATTAAGTGCTCGACATTTAAGATACTATACTGAGGCATTAGACCGAGTTATCAAGTCCCAAAAGAGGAAATATTAATTGGGTTGAGTATCAAGGCCCAATCAAGAGTCCAAGAGCCCCGCTCATCCGGATAGAGCTCCGCCCGAAGGTGCGCCCGGTCGAGCGGGGCGGAAGAAGGAAATAATCTCTAGCCCGAGTTTGCGCCACGCCGGCGCAAAAGTAGTTTTACGTCACAAAAAGGCGGGCTCGATCGGGCGGAGGGGCGCCCGACCGGGCGCGTGTCTCTGATAAGGATTTAGGGCGTCGTTTAGTTTGTTTAAGTTTAGGATTAACTTGCTTAATATAAATACGATTTTGTTAAGCAAGTTTAATATCTCTTTTATCTATTTTTACTTCTTCTCTTAGACTTTCTCTCACTACTTAGTTTTATCTTCTCTCTCTACAACTTTACGCCTTTTTATTGATTCAACTCATTATTTACGTTAATTTTGGTAACGATTTCTTTTCTATTAATTTCAGTAATTCTATTTCTTTATTTCATCATGTCTTATTTAATTCCTTTGATTAGTGTAGATTTAATTATGCGTCAGTACTTTTCTTTCTAGGTTTTATGGGGATCCATAAATAATATGCAGGGGTAATTTATTTTTCTGATTGTCAATGCTTAATTAATTTCCTATTGATTGATTTAATGAAATGCAACTAAATTTGCGCAGAACTTTTATGTATGAATTTAGCAATATTGATTCGAGAGATGAGAATTGATATTTTGGCTTTGTTTCATTAGGCAGGTTAATTTATAAATGGTTAAGTCGAGATTCGAGAGATGAGATTTAATACCGGTAGATTAATTCTGTGATTGTAACACGTTGCGAAGCCCTTTATTTTATGATCTGATTAATTGATGCATTGATGATTGATTATTATGTTTTACCCTGGAATGTTATTTATTGGTGAACCTATGCCCTTGGTCTTTTATTCATTGTTTTTCTCTATTCTTATTCTTCCCTACTTTTACTTTTCGTAGTTTAGATTCCTTTCACCATAATATTATTTGTTACTTAATAGTTTAGATTTCTTAGATTAATTAGGAATAAAAAGACTTGTTTCCCTGTGGATTCAACCCTACTTCCCTATCTGCATTAATTAGAGGTTTTAGGTAATACTTTTGATTGGGTTATACGACTTTAGTCTATCACGTATGGAATGAATGAAGAACGTTGTTTTGTGTAGCCTTTTGTACGTGAGAAATGGGATAAGAAGGAAAGAGTCTTGGAAAACATTAGATGGTGATTGAATGTGAATGAGAGGTATGATTTTGGTGGTTACTAGCAGGGCAAATAAGAGCAAAAAATATCTCCGATTCCTAGGCAGCCATGTGAAAAAAGTGGAAGTTGGGATCAAAGAGACCTACCTACATGAAACACTAAATTGATTTACCTAATGGACTAATTAGGTGATTAATTTAGGTTTCTAGTTAAGGATGAGCTTAACTTATTATCTAATTACTCAAGTGGCTAATGGTAAGGTAGTATAAACCCAAGACATAAACAAAAATCTAATTGGCACGAAACTAGACTAGGGAGGAAACACAATGAGAGGTGAGTGGTAAACACATTTTTAAATAATATAATAAAATTCATAAGTAACAATAATATTATTAATAATAGTAATGATAATAATAAAAACAATATTTTAAATCACGATACAAAAATATATATAAAGTTTATAGAAGAGAGAAATACGAAATGCGAAACCAATAATAATATTATTCATTTATAATATAACCTAATTAATAAAAGGACATTATATTGTGTTTTATAAATATAAGAATTAAAGAATAGTTAATAAACAATATCAATTTGATAAACGGGTTGATGGCATCACCTAATACAACTTTATTTATCGATATTGATACGATTGAACGTAAAACGTCTTAAAAACTTTAAAATCATTTTATACCTATCAAATTGGCACTTCAGTCAAGGGAATTACCTACGATGACTCATATAAATTGCAATAAGTTGAATAACAAAATTACATATAATTTAAGTGTAACACATACTGAATTAACGCTTAAGCTTAAGGAATTCAAACAAGTCAAATATAGTTGAAATGATTAAAACTCAAATATAAAACCTTTTAAATAATAATATTCAGTTATTCGTCAAAATAATATAAATAGGGTTTTAAAAGCTTGAGATAACCATTAAATCAAAATAACGATTTTAATAATTAAATCAACATTTTAATTTAGAAATTGAGATCTTAATTTGAAAGTAGGTTTAATAGGTTGAAATGCACATAAAAATAGTTGTTCAAAAATACAGAGTCGTCAAATACTTGTTCCGTTTTTAAATAATACTAGCAACATAGCTTTGTGGCACGAACTTTGAGGTCGAGATTATATATTGTAAACAACCAAATTGATCAAAATAACTTTTACACATGGTATACAACCCTTCTCTAATCCTTGTGTTAATATTTTTGTGATAAAGACATTCGTTAACACACTATATATTCACCTCCTAAAACTATTTGCCAAAAGGCTTTGTTGTAAGTAAAAGAAAACGGAGGAAGTAAATATTACCGCCTTCTTTCCTTTTTAATTATATAAAATTATATCTCTTCATTTGATATTATGCAAAACTAGAGATGAAGTTGGAATTATCATGTTATTTATGAAAGATGTTATTGGGTGTACTTCGCATCTAGCTTGTATATATATAAGAATCAATCTCTTCAATAATTTGATATTATGCAAAATTAGATATGAACTTGGAATTATTATTTACCTTATTTTTTAAAGGAAACAAAAAACAACAAAGGCAAACACTTAGATGAAAAGAATTTTAAGGAATCGAGGAAACACATAGTGAAACCAAATATATTAAACAATCAAATTTTGTCAAACTAATATATAATTACAACTTAAATTAGATTAAACAATCCACTGAATAATTAAGTTATATGTTTAATGATAATAACTTATCTTAAATTATAACTTCAAAAAAAAATGGTGGGTCATGTGACCAGTGACCCACTATGCCTCAACATAGTTCCTCCATTGCACGCCTACCCCCAACTATTTTGAAACTTTTTCTTTTGTCTATTCATAGGTACACAACAAAGATTAAATATGAGGTAGATTCTTTTATTTTGGTATGGTTTGTCGTGTTACAACTTTCATTACAATGCATATAGTCATAATCAAGAGAAAAAGTTTTTTTTTCCTAAAATAAGATATTATCACTCCAATTATATAACGGTAGTCGATGATTTCGAGAAATAATTCAAAATTTATTTGTATAATTTGTTCAACATACAAAATGTTAAAAATGAAATAATGCCATATTTATTAAAATGAATTCAAAGAAAAAAAGAAGGAAATTGAAAGAGCCTAATTTAATCAACTTAATTCAAAAATATATAATTATCAAATGACAGTTAAAGTGGGGTTGGAAAGTGTAAACATATCTTACCACTTCAAAAATTCAAAGCAACAAAGTTCAGTCACTCTTGTGTTTATCTGGCGCGAAAAACAAAGATGGCAAGTGTATCAAGCAAATCCATCCTATTTGCCGAAATTCCAATAAAAATGTGTATGAAGATAATAGTTATGACTGCCCACAAGATACCATCCAATACTACTATGTAGATACTAGCCATAAATGCCACCATCGTGCTATATAAGGCTTGCATTAGTAATAATAAACTCCGGTTGACCAAAAAATACATCATATCAGGAGTAGAAACCATGGACCATATCAAGCAAAACAAGACCAATATGGATGTAGACATGCCATATATGTCTGCTAGCAAGAATGCTAAAAATGCAAATTTCTTTACTAGACTGACATTCTCGTCTTGACTTTTCAGGCTCATAGATATTGTAAATCCAACCGCTAATGTGATTGTTGCTAGTAGAGTTACTGCTGCAACCGGACTTAGTATGTGTTGCATTTTATCGATATTCATCTCTGGGTGAATGTATATTGTTTTCAGGTTCGGAAACACGTTTATTGATCTACACATATGTGCCTGTAAATTTTATGCATATATTAGTTTCATCAATAATGATATCTCTCAATATGCTCTAAAAATCTACATCAAATTCGGTCATACTGTAATTCTTATATTTACAGACATTAAACATGTATTTTTAATTCTTTATCATTAGAAATAGAACTTCTCATTGCAACTTATAATTTAACTAATTAAGGAAGCTTATATGGGTAACTTTAATTCCATATTACGATTTCTATCAAAGACTACCTACTTCTAATACTCCAAGGATAGTAGTGTAAGTTTATGTTAACCAAACTAAGTGACCATGCACAGTTGCACTAAATTAAAGTGATTGAAACATGAATAAATTTAAAAAGGCACATACCCAATAATCATATTTCTTGCAAAGGTTGTCAAGAATATCCATAGCAGTTGTACCATGATTGTCCTTTACCTGTCGCATAACCTCACTATCCATGAGTAAAGTTTTGGCTAGTTGTAGGTGCTTCCTTTTAAGTGCTTGGTGCAAAGGCGTACCACCCTGAAAATCAATTGTATTTTTAAAAACTCTGATGGATGGATTCTTCAAGAATTCTTGGTACTCTTGGTAACTTTGCAATTTGATGTGATGCAGAGGAATGTCATTTTGTACACGGAAGTCTTCCGGAACATATTGATAGTTTTCAATGAATGAAATTACAGCCATTTTATCACCTCTTAAGCATGCTTTAATCCAGTTGAAGGGTTCTATTTGGATCGCTGATAGGTTCCTTAACAATTCCATAAGCCATGGTACATTTTTGTTATTGGCTTCATCAAGGGCAGTTTTTCCCTCGTTGTTACGAACGTTAATGATCCACCAGAATCTTGATAGTAATTGCTTTGCAGTTTCCTCTTTATTCACAATTAATTTATCATTAGTATGCAGATTACAACTTAATGCATGATTGCTATTAAAAATCTTAACAAGGAGAAAAGCATAGAACAATAATTATTAATTAATAGAACACTACCAACTGAGTTAATAATCAAATTGCGTCTTACTTAATTATTACCTAAAATACCTAAATCGTCAAGTCAAAAAGGTTAACTAGTTAGTGAATGTGTGATTATTAAGTTACCCTAATTTGAAATTAATTATAAGTAGTGTTTTCTCCTTTATATCCAATCTTGTACAGAATAATTAATAATACTCCTTCCTATTCTTTTTTAATTGAATCATTTGGGTTGGACACAATATTTAAAAATGAATTATATAATAACAAAAATACTCATTTGACTGTAAACAAAGGACAAAGAGTAAAAGTGACCTAAGAAGAGTAATTATCAAATGCGAGTAAGAGTGAAAATGTATTTGGTGCTTGAACATAAAAAGTGTAATGCCCATCATATAAATGGTGATTAATGTGGGACTTGCCAACTTCCCTAAAAAGAAAATGGTGTAATAAAGGAACAATAATATAATAGAGGAAATACATAGTATTGGTGCTATGCTTTTACCTGTACAAAATTTTAATAGATGAAGCACTGTTTGTCCGTCATTGCGACGTAGAATGTTAAACTCAGGCTCCTCCAAAATTCTCAAAATTCTTTCTACAACTTGAGCACAACCTATAGCAACACCAACAAAGAGGGGGCTTTCACCCTTTTTGTTACAAATTTGACATAATGTTGAATCTCTGTACAAAAACTCCAATGCAATCTTTTCATGTTTTGAATATAAAGCCAAGTGCAAAGGTGTATCTCCTCTTTTGTTCTTTAATTTCCAAGGAGGAAAATTAGACTTCTTCCATGATTTATCAAATAGTTGAAAGTAATTAATATTCAACATTTGTGCAACAAATTGGTTATCATCTTTGTTAAACCTTGCTGCAATGTGTAATGGATTGTCACCCTAATTCTTATTTTTTTTGTATATTAATTCCCTAAAAGCTTTATCCTGCATAGTTTGTATTTTGAACATGAAATGACAGTCTATTGTGCCAAAACCTCCTATTTTTTCCCATTGATGAAGCACAGTAAATCCTTTTTCATCAATCGTTTCAAACAATTTTGAATGCCTCTCTTGCAATAGTTTTGTAACAACACCTGATGAAATATAAAAACGATATAATGTCAGACATTTGCAATTAGAACAAGACAATTTCACGTGTCATTACCTAAACATAACTTTAATATCATGCCGTATTATTTAATTATTGTGTCGTTAGTAAATATCAAGTTTAAAATTTGGGCTACTATGCAATCAAAGTGAAAGTCGCATTATAAGTTCAACTTGTAATGAGTTTATAAAAAAAAAGTTCAACTTGTAATGAGAATAATAGGTAGAATAACTTCTCAGCCGTATTAATTCATTTATCCCTCATTGTTTTCCAAGATGAGAAAAATCCCAATATGGTTGTTTATTAACAATGTAAAATTTAACATTAATCTAATCGCTCTATCGAATAATTAATATATAAAGTTATATGGGATATTATTAAAATCAAAGCACACATTACAGTCAGGAAAAAGGTTATGTGTGTGACACATTACACATATATATGACAAGATCTAGTAGAATAGTTGAATCCTGTGAGTAGATTTCACAGAAAAGGTTTGCAAATGATATTAACTAATGGATTTTGGCAACTAAGTTTAATTATTTAATTATTTAATTATTAGCTTAAAAAAGAAGTTGAAGTATATACGGAAAAATTGCTATTAATAATACAACCTTTGACCCGTTTTTTTTTTAAATAATAAAAACTTTGGATTATACCTGAATATTACAACCTTTGGGGGGTATTAACTTTAAACAAGAACAAAAACTTGTAACCTATTATACCGGTTACCTATGACACATGTCATTGTATAGTTGGTCTAAATATTAAAGTTTGATTTTTTAAATAAACAATTTTCAAAACAAAAAAAAAATCCCTCCCAACTCCCTCCCCCCGTCAACCATGGTGGTCACCCACCTCCCCATCCCAAGCCTACCTTCACGCACATCCCCGATGGCCTAAACGTCGGATCACCCCAACTCTACCCTTCCCCAATCCCCACCCAACTGGCAACTGCTAAAATTACCTTCCCCGCCCAATTGATTGTGGATTTTGCAAAATTTGAAGGGGTTTTGATAATGGACAAAGGGGGAGGAATCGGTGGTCGAAAAGGGAGGAATTAAGGCTGTCGTGATCAGGAAGAGGAAGAATCAGGGATGTTGTATGTGGTCCAGAAGGTGAGGATTCGGGGCTTTTTGTTCCAAAAGGGTAGGAATTGGGAAGTGTGGGTGTTTTTTGGTGGTGGGAGTTGGCGGCGGTGGTCGGGAATAAGTCCTGTTATGGTGTGGTGGGGAGTTTCGGAATGGTGGAGGGGGACTGAGGGTTCACAACGTTGGTTGGGACGGGGAGAGGCATGCTTAAGTGGTGAAGATGGGGATTGGAGTTGTGCAGTGGAGGTGGGGTTGGGTGGAGCAGTGGTGATATTTGGGGAAAGAAGAGAGAAAAAGAAAAAAATAAAAAAATTATTTAAGCCAATCATATAGCGACACGTGGCATTGGTAACTTGTTTATCAGGTTGCTTTTGATTTTGTCTTGTTTAAAGTTGAGACCCCCTAAAGTTTGTAATATTTAGGTATAATTCAAAGGTTGTATTATTTAAAGAAAAAAAAAAGGATAAAGGTTGTATTATTAATGGCAATTTTTCCAATATATTAGTTTATCTAACAACACTTTTACGAAACATATGGAGTATCTCCCTTATTTATATATTTTAATTAATAATGTTTAATCAAAGTACTACATTTGTCCCCAAATGAAGTCTCATTTTCCTTATAAACATATTTTAAGAAAAGGTATAAATTAAAACAAAGATAGCAAAGTTTGGTTAATTTAAATGAATAATAGGAGGTGGTGCATTGATGTTTAAAAAGTAAATACTACCGCTGGTTCGTATTATATGCAACTTTGGTATAATATTAGTGAGATATAAAAATTCTAAATTTGTATATAATACGAACTAGAGGTAGTGTAAAAAACAATACAAGATATTGGAGTTTGTTCAATCGATTAAAAGTTGATAAAAAAATGGATTTTTTGTCAAAAACTACCTAATGAAGCCAAATTTTGTGAGAATCTACCTAATAAAAAATTGTTGTAAAAAACTACTTAATAAAAAGGTAAAATATTGTAAGAAACTACCTAACAAAATGTTAATTATTGTAAAATACTACCTCCGCCGGAAATCCATCATTCACCCACCTCGAAACACCCCTAAAACAACCGCTTTCACCCTAAAACCAACACAACCAACTTGAAATTGCCTTCACCAAGCCGAAACCACCCTTCAATCCCAAAACCACCACCTCTAACCCCAAAAATAAATATTCCGAATCACGAAATTAAACTTCCCTCACCAACTTGGAATATCTTCTAACCACCCCAAATATAACCTTACCACCTTTGTGGTGGTTTCGTGGATGTTTTGAGGTAGGTCAACACCTTAAAATTATATTAACGGTGAAAATTCGGCCAAAGGTAGTTACTTACAACATTTTACCTTTTATAAGGTAGTTTCTTACAACATTTTATTTATTAGGTAGTTTCTCACAAATTTTAATTTATCATTAAATTGATTATACGTTAATATTTAAGAAAAAGGTTTAATTGAGATTTTATTTAGGACAAATAATTAGGTAAATCTCAAGCCATGCTCAAAATTTTGAATTATTACAAAAAAATATTTATTTAGTCGATATTGGCTGGTTATCTATTGCTATTATTGTATAAAAAAAAATATAATATGAAATAAAATGCACAAACTTTCACATGTGGCTAGCTACACGGTGTGGCCAGCCACAAATTTTTTTCTTTTATTTACAAAAATATTTTTTCTCTATCTTCTCTGACCTCTCAATTTCCCTCATCAACGCCTCAACTCACTTCAAACTCAACTACATCAACATCTTCCTCGTCGTCCTCTTCCTCACTTTCGTTCCCCGCCCTCTCTCTCCTCCTCGTCTTCGCCTGCGCCGCTGCATGGTTGGTGTACTTCTCCTCCTCCCATACTTCTCTGGTTAAAATTCTAGGGATCGTCGTTGACGATCGAGTGTTTGCATGGTGTTCTCAGCAACGACGATCAAGTATTTTCACGATGTTCTTAGGGCTCCCATTAGTGATTCTGATCCTTATAGTGGTCCTCTTGATGCTGAATCTGGTGGTTATAGTGAGTTATAATTCATTTAAAGTTTCCTAATTTTGGTTTTTCTTTTTAGTTTGTGATTGTTGTAGATTTGTGATTGAAACTGGAAATTGAATCATATGCTTGATTTATATAAGCATTAATTATGCTTGTAATTGATCAAAAATTGTAGTTGATTGCAATGAAATTCATCACGTTTTTGCTCATTTATTGCTAAATTGGACAAATTTTGTGTATTTTTTTGTCAAATTGGTGGTGTGGTGGAGTTTAAAGCTTTGAGGTGGTGTAGAATTACGGGTTACTAGGTTGTGGTTACCGGTCGGTTAGGGGTTATTAGTCAAGGGTTACTAGGTCAGAGGGTTAGGGGTTGCTGGGTTGGTCAGGGATTACTTAGTCGCTTAGGAATTACTTGGGTAGAGGTTACTCCGTCAGGGGTTACTAGGTCAGTTAGGGGTTACTAGGTCGGATGGGTTACTCGGTCAGGGGTTACTTTGTCAGGGGTTACTTGTGTGATAGTTGGCCACACAGTGTGGCCAGCCACACAAAAAACATGCTGAAAAAAAAATGTACTTTGTAATTTAGAGCTGTCAATTCAAATATTTGGTTCGGGTTTGAGACGGGTCAATGCGGATTGGGTTAATTGGGTCGAGTTTGTTTGGGTTAATATCATTACCTTTGTGCGTCGAGTTCAGGTCAGGTCACGTGGGATCATGCACCATATCAAGTTTGGGTTAGGTTTAAGTCGGGTCAATAACATAACGGCTGAATTCGGGTCGAATTAATAACAGGTCGAGTTAAATTTGGATTTTAATAGGTTATAACGGGTTAGTGGAATTCTTGAATTCGAGTCGGGTTTTGATTTAGGTCAATAATTTGTGTTTTTTATTCTAGTCAAGTAAGGTCATGTCGGGTCGGGTATTGAAAACTTGGGTCTTGGGTCGCTTTTAAGTTGAGTCGTATCTTATTCGGGTTACCAAATTCTTGAATTTAAACATGTCGAGTCATGATCGGGTTCATATATATAAACTTTATCACTTTTTTTTGGAATAAGGAATCTATACTATATACTAAAGTAATCTCCATAAGTATTCCTAAAGTACAATTGGCATTACATCATTAAAAAATTTCCTGCTAAAAAGTTTGTTAGTCTTTTTTTTTGTTTTTGGTTATTTAAAGAAGTTTGTTAAGTTTAGCTTTATATTTAGGAAAGGGAATGATAATATAACCATAATAAATAAACAAATAATGAAAATATTATTGCACTTTAAAACCGTGCATAGCACGGGTTAGAGCTCTCAATTCAAGTATTCAAGTCGGGTTCGGGTCAGGTTAAATCAGGTCTCGGGTAAAATCAGGATCAGGTTGTGTCGGGTCAATTGATATGTTCATTTTATATAGTTATTTACCCCCATCCCTTGGTCATAATTAGTAGTGTTTTTGGCTCTTTAGAGCCATTTTTATTACTAATTGGTGTTTTCTAGTGTTTTTGTAGATTTGGTTGACTTTTGTAAGGATTTGCACTTTTGGAGCATTTTCCCGAGATATTATGGAGTATCTACGAGCGTTGGAGATGCACGACCATCCTTCATAGCCCAGGTCCGGTTAGAGCCATCGAACCGGTGATTAAAGGCTCGGTATATGTGATACCGG